AACTTACTTATTTGCAAGTAGAAATTTGCCTGGTTCTCCACAGGAAAGGCTCCTTTAGCTCCTTTTCAAATAATGAAGTCCTTCCTGGCATTTCCTGCTTGCTACCTGTCCTGTTTGCAGCTGGGATGGAGTTAATTTTCTTCCTAGTAGCTGGTGCAGTCCTGTGTTTTGGCTTTACCCTGAGAACAGTGCTGATAACACACCGATGTTTTAGTTGTTGCTAAGTATTGCGTATCCTGATCAAGGACTTTCTCAGTCTCATGCTCTGCCAGAGAGGAGGGGAAGCCGGGAGGAAGCAGAGACAGGACACTTGACCCAAACTGGCCAAAGGGCTATTCCATACCACAGCACGTCATGCCCGGTATATAAACTGGGGGGAGTTACCCGGAAGGCCCAGGTCGCTGCTCGGGTCAGGCTGGGTATTGGTCGGCGGGTGGTGAGCAATTGTATTGTGCGTCACTTGTGTTTTCTAAATTTTTATTCCTCCTGCTTTTGTTATCATTACTATTATAATTATTACAGTATTATAATTGCTATTATTGTTATTCTTATGTCTATTATTATATTTTACTTAATTGCGATCATTAAACTGTTCTTATTTCAACCCATGGGTTTTACCTTTTTCTGATTCTCCTTCCCATCCCACCTGAGGAAGGAGCAGTGTGGGGAATGAGCAAGCAGCTGCATAGTACTTTGTTGTTGGCTGGGGTTAAACCATGACACTACCCCTGAATTAATACAATACTATGTTTGCCACAGTCTGCCTTTAGGGAGGTTGTTTAAAGTCCTGTTTGGGCTTACCCATTCACTCTTCTGTGACATTCAGCAGTCATTTTTTCACTGTGTTGCTTTTTCCCCAGACATACTCATCTTCAGTTTTCATTCCCTTGCCACTTCCCCTTTTGCCACTTCAGGGGGGAAACACGGGAAAAAGTTAAGTCAGTTCCAGGCAGTACTAGTTCTGGTGCAATGGAGATTTCTGTGCAGTGCCCCAGGGCATGTCTCTGCCTAGGCAAAAATCACAACCCCTGGTGTGGAAAGACCCTGAAAAGCTGTAAGGAATAAACCTTATCCCATCTTGTGCCATCCCAGGCTGTGTGCACTGATCCAGTGCTTTCTCCCCTTAGGAGTAGTTGTTATGTGGCTTAATGGTTGACTCCAAAAATAGGCATCTAAATGTAAAACTATCAGTCTGACAATCTCTCTTGTTTTTCTTTTTTTGGCCTTGAACACTGCGAGGAATGGGGCAGCCACAGCTCCTCTGGGCAACCTGTTCCAGGCTCTCACCACCCTCACAGGGAAGAATTTCTTCCTGCCATGTGGTTTCCAAGTGCAAGGGCATATTCTCTTCACAAGCTATGTTATCTCTGGCAAGAAGCGCAATCTGATAGCAACTACCCCAGCAGCTCAGGTCTCTCTGAATCCAGAGTGCCATTATCTTGCTCTTCATCTCTGCTTCAGGCAGTGTATTTCCACCCCACCTCTGTGCTGTCCCCAGCACTTGTGTAAGAGGGAGCTGTTTTCATTGAATCACACCTGTGCATACATATATATGTGTGTGTGTGTGTGTGTTTCTTTTGGCTGTGTTACTTTCTGAGCCATCTCACTCTGTCACACACGTGCTTCTGCCCATGAAAGAAGGTGCATGAGAATGCACAGTTCCCAGGAGGTCTTGCAGCCCTATACTCTTTACTGCCTGGTTAACTAGTTTAGCTAGTTTGCCAATTTAAAACAGTTTGTGGTACTTCTGGATCTCATGCAATTCTGTGCACGCATTTCTCAGAGAGCCTAGGTGACTAACTTCAGACTGAGTATTTTACTGCAGAGATTTAAATACCTGAAGTTTCTTTTCACAGCACTACACTTTTTTGACTCTAGGTTGTAGGTTCTGAATCAGGGTTAGGGTGACTTAAAAGTTCATTGTTTCAAACCAGAATTCACAACCTCTTAGCAGTGAATCCACACAGTAAAAACCCCATGGTGTACAGGTATGGCTGCTTAAAAACTATTCTAAATTTACTGTCAGAAGGAAGCTGTTAAATGAAAAGTTACTTGCAATGCACAGCTATGAAACTATTCTCTACAATGATTATTAGTTTGTTGTTTTTTTTTTTTTTTAATTAGGGTGGACATATAAATAGGTAACTCAGATCTCTGTATTTAAACAAACAAACCAACAGGAGTAATAGTTTACTTGCTTGTATTCAATAAATAGTAACACATTACTAAAACTTAAATACATTTAATATGCTGCTGTTTCTATAAATGTTTATATATACAAAATTAGGTATTTTGTTTTAAAATTTTTGAGTGGGTACTAACATTTTTATGGAATGCTCCTAGCTAATAATAATGTTCTTCTGTGGGAGGAATTTATAAGTCAAAACTAGTGGTAAAAATTCACATTACTCATTCAAGATTAAAGCACACCCTCATGTATTTAATTGTGTGTGTATGAAAAAGAATATAAGATATCCAAGGGCACCATCTGCTGACAGGTTCAGGGTGCCAAATGCTTTCATGGATTTTCAGATACAGGGGAAAATACTGTACATTCAGACCTCACATATTAGAAAATACTTACACTAGTTTTAGCTTGATTTTAAGGGGAGTTCAGACTTGGTATTGCTACAAATTAGTTTCAGATTAATTTTTGCAGAGTGAAGTTCTGGACTGATTATTTTCCTTCTGCAAGGATTACTCTGGAGTTCTTTTGCTATAAACTGTCTTGAAAGTGACCTTGGTGGGACAGGAGTGCAAGACATCATTATGTAAAGAATATTAAGCAATATCGAATCAAAGTGAAAAATTCCTCTCCTTTTTTCCCCCGTTTTATTTCAATGTATCCTTATCTTGATACTTACGTGGAAAAGAAGAAATCAAGTAACTACAGGAACCTCTGAATATACTCTTACATTATTAAAGTTTTCTTAACTTACTGTAGAGAACAAGGGCTGGTTTAAAAAAAAACCCCTTCATTTACACAATTTTTCACAGATTTTAGTTCCAGCATACACGTTTTCTCTGCTGCCATGAATTTGGCAGATTTTGAGTAAGGTTTCATTGAGCACAGGGACTGCTGCCTATCCAAGGGGTGCCTCTATAGCAGATGGCATATTCCACCACCCAGCCTTGTTTTCACCTGTCTGTCCTTGCACTTACAGCTTTTTTATACAGAATTCCATGGCAGAAAAGCAAAGCTGTCTAAAGAAAATGACCAAAAGAAGGAAACAAGTCTCGGGGGTTTTTTATGATGCTGAGATACTCTAATTCAAAGCGCTTACACATTCATGTTATGCATAGAAAGTTTTTTTATGACAAAAAATTTGAATGATATACACTGTGAAGAAAATGAATTTCAAGTGCATTTATTTTGAAACAGACAAGACTACTATATGCATATATTCATATTTATATTAAATAACTTATTATTAAACATGAGAGAAAATACTCTTAGAAACTAATCTGACACTTTCACATTCTATTTTATATTAAGTGACTGTAGTTAGGAAATACATATAAAAACGATAAAATTGTTTCAAGCCAGCCATAAGAGCAAAGTGCATTATTGCTTAGGGCAGTGGAGGAGCAAAATGGTGATGGTACTGCTGCTTCCAAGGGGAGGATTGCTGTGCTTGGGCACTAGTGAATGAAGAGGAAGGACATGAACCCCTTCAATAACTCCCTATCTTTTCTTCCATTTTTTGTCCTTCATCACTGAAGTAGCAATGTGGGTTTTGCATATGCTGACAAGAAGCAGTGAGACAGTTCTGCGTACCAAGACGACACACTGAACACAGTTGATTCCCTAAATCATCACACAGGGATTGCAGCGTGCCCATGTTCTGTTGTATCAGTTCAAAAACCTTTATCCCAATTTATTTGATTTTCTTGTTGTCAGTAGTTTAATGACGCCAAGGTGGAAATTTTGTAAGTAACGATCATGAAACATTAAAGTAGCACCCTTCAAATGCTTTCTGAATCAGGTTTTTCTCAGATAAAAGCCACATGTAGCACATTTTTATTTTCTAAAATGCCCAGTGTGGTATTTTTTAAAACCCCGCTTCCTTCTCGTTTTGTTCTGATTTTTTAGCAAAGGTAAATCTTACTATAAATTAAGCACTTCTAAACTTAGTTGCACTTGCACAGATGCTATACATCATTTCCATTCACATGTGATATTAAGGTGGTATTTGAGCAACATATGCACTGAATACAATTTCACAAAGTTTGCTTTCATGTTGGAGTAATAAAAGATTTAAAACCATTATTTTGGTTGTATTATAATTATCTGACCACCAAATTTTTGCCTTTCTGATAACAATGTACTGACATTAATTTTAGTGTGTGTGTATTCAGCTAGAAATATTTGAAGGCACAGATTGTTTCTAAATAGGTACAGACTTATTTAATGTCCAGCAAACCTTTTCAAGAAGGATGTAAGAAATAAGTGTTCATGTTTGTTTGGGTTTAATTGATACCACCTACCAACAATCTTGAAAGGGAATAAGGAAAAACGCTGCTGCTGGACAGCAAAAAAAAATTTAGAGAATATGAAAAACAAATGTAACAGTGTCCTTACCACTGTTTCAGGAACATCTAAGCCTACAGGGCATGAAAGGGCATAGTGGCTACTGACTGCCTGTAGTCTCCATAACCTTTGTAAAGCCTAATTTGTGTCTAGTATTTGATGTGTAATATTCAAATAATATTACTTAGTGTTGCTCTGTACTGTTGCATGCATTCATGTTTTGTTTTGCTTTGTTTGACACAAACACAAGTTATTATCTGTTTTTCAGATACTGCATTCCAGAGTAGCAAATTAGACAGCTATAATTTCTACTCAGTGCCACTTCATATAAAAGTGCACTATTCACAAGAAACACATGAAGTTTTACTCTACGAGAAATATAGCAGTGAATTTATATGTATAGCAATAAAATTTATAATTAATATTACAAAGTGTATATTTCTTAACATGAATTTGAACATTTTGATCTTTTGACATACTGCTCATAAGACATCTTAAAAGCTACACTATTTTTTTAAAAGGATAAGTTACTAAACATAATAGTAAGACTTGGAGAATCTGAACATTAGAGTCCATACAGTACCTTCCCTAGGTAAATACCTATCATTCACATTATAACCGTAACAGCTTTACTCTTTTTAAAGTAATAGCTTCTGAGAGCTTAATTTGTCCATTCAACTCGTACATAGCTGTTATGCTACTTAATGCATTCTCATTGCCAATTTTGCACAAACTTTTAATAGCGCTCTTCTGAAAGAAAATTCACAGTCTAAGCTGCTGCAGTTTCTCTTCAATGCCACAACATTTGCCTACCCAGGTGTCAAACTTGTTTTTATTTTCTTTTAACTTGCAAATTTATCTCAAAATAATAAAAAATATTCAAAACGTGTTCTTAAGAAAAAGATTTTTGCCGATCGGGTGATGGTTAGTTCATCATTTAAATAAAATACATACTGAAAAGCAGTTGTAAGAGTTGATGATCACTACACTAAGTGGAAAAGAAGTCCTGTGTTTTCTACTGCAGCTGTAAGATTGACAGTTCACCTGGGTTTGTTCTTCATTAGGAATTCACAGAGATAAATAGTTCTAGCCAGTGTAGATAATCCTTCTTTCTTCCTTTATCTCAGCATATCTCGCCTCCGAAACTGCTTCCACAGATCTCTGAGGTGTTCGCTGGTTACAGTCATCACACAAGAGTAATATTCCTTCCAACCATATTTTGGAGTCTCCTGTGAAAAGTGAAAAACATGTAATTGGAAAAAGATATTGTTCATTAAATTCTTTAATACTACATTAAATTTTACTCAGACTCATACACACTAATATATGTTTTAATATTAAAATCATGAAGATCAAATACTTTATAGCTCAAAAGTACTTCTGTAAAATAAGGGTTGTAAATCCATTCACAGGTTAAGTACTCAAAATGCATCCTCATCTCGCAGCACACAGTTAGCATTCAACAAATAGTCTATTTATATTAAAATTTGCAAGAAAGGATTTCCTTTTTATTCAGGTATGTCCTGCTCTGTCTCTAGTTTTGATTCTTGCTTGTGTTGACACTGTACTAAAAAGATCACCTGTAACACCAAGTAAAAAAGCACAGAGCCTTGGGCAACATAGTTTAGTGTGTGGTGTCCCTGCTCATGGCAGGGGGGTTGGAACTAGACGATCTTAAGGTCCTTTCCAACCCTAACTATTCTATGATTCTATGAAACTGAGGCATCAGCAACAGCCAAATACAATATGTATTATTCAGCTAGGCTGCCTTAATCCTAAACTGCACTGCAGTTCAGCACTGCTAATGAGTGCCCATTGAGTGGAGAGCAATACCAGCCAAAGGCTGTCCTGGAAGATTCACTAGGCTCTATGCTATCTGTAGTTATCAGTGGATCTCCTTATTTCTTCCACTGTTCCTAACTTCACAAGCTTATTTTGATAGTAAGTACAGAAAGATGGAGAGAGACTATTATAGCAACTAGGAAATGAAGCTAAGGGAGGAATAGGAATTGTAATTGCTATAGGTAAGTCAGAAGCATTCACAAGCCATTTTAATTTCTAAGACGGATTGCAATTAAAGTCCAGTATCTGGAGGCAGAGGGTTACAGTGTCAAGGTGTCGTGGCTTAACTTGGCAGGCAGCTAAACACCACACAGCCCTTAGCTCGCTCCCAGCCCCTGCAGTGGGATGGGAGACAGAACTGGGAAAAAAAACCCCACCAAAACCAAAAGAAAATTAACTCTATCCCAGCAAAACCAGGACACAAGGTGAGAGATTGCCCGGTAACTTGGTCTGGTTGAACTGAGTGAAGATGTTAAAAATATTGTGACACTGCAGTACATTAAAACCAACCATTAGAGAGTGAAGCCTACATCCATTTATTCTTATCACTTGCATAATTAAAACCCATAGAATATTATAGAGAAGTTGTAAATATTCAGAAAACAAACTAAACCACAGCAGTATATAACCCAGACTTTACATTAAATATTAGAAACAGTACATACATGAATACATAATTTAGTTGAGATGTATAGTCTTAGGAAAAAAAAATGCATTACTTGCAAAATGCACTGCATTATTTAACAAAAGCACATTCAGTTAATTAAGCAGTGTTTTAATACATGCATTTATTTTTTATTTTATGAGAAAGATTCAGATAAATGTTCATGAAGATCATTAAGAGAAACACTGGAGTATGTTAACTGTTCATCTGCTTATTTCTAATGTATACACTGTTGTATCTACTCTTAGTGTACCAAATCCATAGAAAGAACATTTTGTCCACAGTCTCTGCAATGCTTTCATATTTCACTGGAACATTTTCCTCCAACTGTATACAGGTATGTTTTTAAAGGCCTAGTCAGGTTTAGGATGAAAAGTCTGGGTTCTGTAACTTCCAGTTACCTTTATAAGATGAGTCAATAAGGCATGCCTATCACACACTTCTCACTTCATCAGATTTAGAGAAGAGGTAAGCAACACCCTCTTCAGGTTTGGGGTTTTTTTTAAGCTCTCTCTTATGACAGATGTATTCGACTACTGTGAACTACTGTGAAAAGTATGGAAATTATGAGTTTTCAAATTAATAATTACATAACAAATTTAATCTCATTTGACTGAATGAATTACAGAAGACAGCAATTTATTGTTGAAACATGGCTGGAAACGAGGTTCTGAATCCATACTTCAGTCTTTCATGTCTTTCTCAAAATAAAATTTCCTTCCTCAATCAGTCCCCCAAGATACTATTTTTAGCTATTAATTATTATTTCCTAAAAACCTTTAATCAAAAATTTAGAAACCCCACAAAATTCAGAACATCTAAGAAAGTTATTTTAATGCAAAAATCTTAAGATTTTTGGGGAATTACTGGGACATACAACTTAATTTCTAGATATGTATTTGTGACATGTAATAGTTACTTTTAATACTTTAGAAGTCAACAAAACCAAAATTATTGCAGCTACTGAGCACACAAATAGGACTTTCAGATGGACCTGAATCCCTCTGGAAGTTGGCCACTAGCATCCATTTTTTGGAAACAAACTCTGAAAAGGCTTTGTTAGAAATTTCCTTCCCATAAGACATTCAAAGTGGAGTTCTCCTCTCTGCTCTGGCAGACATTTCTCTACTAACATGTTTATTTCTGTTCTCCCTGCTGTGCGTGCAAAGGAGTACCTGCTGATGCCGAGTCAGGCTGCGTGCCCTGCATGGAGAGCAATGCAGAAAGACAAGCTCCCCAAGAACACCGTCAGCTGGCTGGATCACACAGAGCTTTGTACAGTTGTTCCCCAAAGAGAGATTTTCATTATTTATTACAAGCGTATAACATGCTTTACACTGTGAAGTACATTGCATTAGTGCAATCTGGAGATACGTAATGTACAGCACGATGTGCTGTTCATCACTTTTCAGGGTGCAGATTCAAAGTATGGTGTAATCTGTGGTACGTATGCCAAGCGTCTTAATCTCTCATCAGAGTTCTACATCTACCACAGAAAGTATATCAAAGCCCAGTGAGTTGTACATTTATATTTGGAACAAAGTAAACTTAATAGTAATTGCACTGGACCTAACTTTGGGATGTAGGTGCAGCAGTTTTTGTATTTCACATACATTTATGTGTTTCTGTGTACATCAAACTGAAATTTAACCGCCTAATTGAAACTGTTCAATTTCAAATCTCCAATGATTCCATCTTTATTATCTTTTCAATGTATAAACTAAATGGAAAATAATTATTTCTAGAATGATGTAAATCCACTTTCACTCCACATTGTATGGCAAAGACAGGACTACTTCTGTTCTCCTCCGCAGTAATTAACACCAAATCACTTCACACGTGTTTTGGCTAAAGCTTCCATTCCCATTAACTGACACTAGCAACTAACTTTTATTAAAGTTTACAACAAATCTGAAGAAACACTAAGTTATTTAATGTTTTGCACAGAAAGGATCTCCAAATAGCCAAGAACTGGATATGTGACTGTAATTCATAACAGACAAGAAGCAGTTGCTCAAGTGAAGAGCAGTAGCCAACTAATGCGTCAGCCAGGAAGAGGGAATATTATGTAAGTCAACGAGGCTTACACCATATTCTTCATGGCACAGGTAAGATGTATCTGACACAGACCTACACAAGGAAGCTTAGGTAGAAGAAGCATTTTTGTTAACAGCATTCAGGAGCTTCAGGTGGGAAGAAGAGCAGAGTAAACAACCAGCAACCTCTACACTATGTTAGTGAGGCTGCCTGTAACCAAGTCCATGCACTGAGAACTCACCTGGTTTCTCTGCCTCCCAGTGCATAGTGTAGACATACTATGACTCAACTTTGATTGATTTTTTCTCCCTGAGAATGACTTTTATACAGAGTGAACAAAATCTCCCTTTATAAATTTCCACTGTGTATTTTTTTCCCAGTTGACACCATCTCAAGATAAGAATTAATTAATTGCCTGAATTCAGACCTCTGTCAAGGTGTTGATGTATATAACCCGATGCTTTCACCGCAGTCTCTCTTTTTGTCACCTAATTTTATTAGGCTTGATGACAGTCAAACTCTCCTGGCTCAGGAGCACAAATGTGTTGACTACTCCATGAGGTCCACTCACGAGACCACTGGCCATGAGGCATTGCCTGTCACGGCATACATCTCTGTTAGCTGTTAACAGCCTTTGTAGCAAACTACTGTAAATACAAAGAGGAAAAATGTGCTTGCACCAAAACCTTAAATTGCAAAGAAGCAAACTCTCGCTTTATGCAAGAGAAATGTCTACTAGCATATTTCTGCTGTGTCCACCATGTGACAAACAGTTACAGTTCTGGCTACAGAATATGCACACCCTAGTTTTTAGACTGAAACCCACAGTACAATCTAATTGTAAGAATAATATTCATGTAGTGGATAGGCAGAAACAGCCATGGTGGTGCTGATTTTTGATAATTGCTGGTATAGCACTAATTGAGTGAAAACCACATTAATGTTTTCAAAAGTCTAAGTTGAAGTAGAATCAATCAAGTTACTAACAATCTCTCAGGAAGAAAGATCTGCCTCTATAATCTTCACTGCTAAATACTTCTCAGCTACAGGTACCCGAAAAATTACTTATAAAGTGGTCACAGGACAGATGGAAAACAGCAACAGAGACCATGAAAGAATACTTTTCCTTATTTCAAACATAGCACAAAATCTCAGCTGGCTTACAAAACAGTGACAGTGCGAGTCAGTCACTGCCAGCTCCAGAATAAAATTCTATTGCTTCAGTCAAAACAACAACATGACACTTTGAGCTACTGCGCTGCTTACAGTCAGATAACCTATTCCTGAATTTAGGAACAGGAAACAAAACAGTGACAGTTTAACATTCAGCCATTCCTGTAAGCATGCCAGCACAATCAAGACTGGGTGGCTAACACATACCGTCATTTATCTGCTATAGAGTTCCTTCCTCACGCAGGATTTGAAAGTAGTATACCTCTGTATAGGTTTGTAGCCCTGTGGAGCAGAAGATGGAGAAGTGCGCAGATGCAGACAACATGTGAAGGCAGCCAGAGGTAAGCATAAGACAACAGTATCATGAAAATACAAAAAAATGGCTTTAAGTGACGAATAGCTAGAAGATAACAGTATAGTTCGTGCTAGGTAAAACATTTATCATTTAGTCATGTTCCAAATCATTCAGTTTAAAATTTGAATTTACAAAGGAAAGGGAATCTTCGTATGTAATTTTTAATTAAAAAAAAAAAACCCACAAAAAAACCCAAACAAAAAAAAAAAAAGACATGAAATAACTATTTTAAACCAAACATCAAGAAAAAATAAAGCTTTTAATGTCTGCACATTTTAATAAGTTTACGGCAATACTCTGATTGACCACTTGATGGCAGCTTCATATATGTTTGTTTCAAACTACTAAAACCACAAAAGGTTTCAGATTATAATACTACATTTCAGAAAAAGAGAAATTTCATTTGACAAACTCTTTAAAAAATTTTCTTTTCCCAAATCATACCTAAAATATATGTTAAAATGAGGATTTATTATGTTCCCATAAGGGGTAGTACTTGATCTTTCTCAGGTCTATGGTGAAACTTGCTGGTACGTACTGACTGGCCCTTCAGAACTCCAGTTTCATTGGACTTGTGCAAATCTTTGCTCTTAGATACATTTGCTGTAGTCAGACTATAAAACTACAAAATACATGGGCCTAGTACCAAGCTCTGTGATGCCTTCCAGTTTCTTCTGGGCAAACATTTTAGTAAAGCAACTTTTTTAAAAAGTTGAATTACTAAGTATAAAATGGTAACTGTAAAATCATACTTCAAATCATAGGCCTATTTTAAACTGTTAGTTTTAAATGTATTTAGAGTGATAATCAGAGACTACACTGATTTGGGCAGACATTAATTGTAAGGTACTTAACATTAAAATTGTGTGTTTACACTTTATAAACAGGTTCCAATTTCTGAAGGTAAAAATTTCCATGTTGCTACAAAATACTGCACAGACAGAGGCTATAATGTTCTTTTATCTGTGTAACAGAACTGACCAATCGTAATATGAATTTGAAACACAGTAATTAACAAAAAAAGGTTAGTGATTTGTTAGTTTTAATTTGGAACAAGACAACACTTGAGCCACTACAATGTAGGAGCAAGAGGGTAAACTTTTACTTGTTCTGGCCACGCTAAATACTTTGTAACTTCTAATGTACAAAGAATAGAAAGCAATTAATGATACTTTCCACCAATTTGTTCTGGGCAAAAAGTTCTTACGTTTTCTTCTTTTCATTCTAAATGGAGATTGGGATCAGAGAGGGGTGTTAATTAAACTGAACATAGTAGTAATTTGTACAATTAACTAAACTGAATATACTAGTAATTAGTATAATTGTACTAATTATACTAATCATACTAATTACACTAGTATAATTAATATATTATTATTTTTTTATATTAAACTAAAAAAAGGCAAATTTTTGCAGTTTTTACTACTACCCACTCTCGGAAAAAATCACGTTTGTGTGACGCTTGGGAAAACTTACTGGAAATTTTAATTCTTAATTTTGGTACTGTAATTGTCCTGGACTAATAGTGATTAGTGAAGAGAATGCATTTTTCTGAATAATCTAACAAATGTGCATGTAGGCATGTCTGAATATAACTGAATTATAGGACCAAAATCATGATCATCATCTATGCAAACCAGGAGATACCTGATACCCAACTAAAATTAGACATTTCAGTTATGAAAAATGGTGCTATTCTTCTGTACATCCTTGGCTATTCTTTACAGTTCTTTTACAGGCCACTGGAATGTTTTACAGTGGCCTATGCAAAAGAAAGACACATGCAAAAGACTGAATAGTGCTGGATGATACAGATTCTTAAGGATTATATGTGATTTCTGTCATGCATTTTGTGAAATAGAAACATGTAATACATTTACAAGAATTACTTAGTAAGCAGACTGTTTCCTTGTTAAATTAAACATACACTGCACACTTACAATTAGTAAACAACTAAAACATAGAGCTGAACATCTTGAAACAAGTTATGAAACAATCATCATTCTCACACCGTAATAAAAGGAATTCAGGACCAACAAAGAAAGAGGTTTGTTACAAATGCGTTTTACATTTGATCATAATATTACAATAACAAGTAGACTATTAGACTCAACACAGCTTCACAAAAAGTTCTAAAACTATATTGAAGAAGCTAACTAAAAATGAGTAAAATTATAATACGGAAGTAACATACTGGAATGTGAATTCAGGAACTATGATACAGTTTCAGATTTATGTCTAAGCAATTATATTGTCAGGAAGAACACCATTTTACATTCAGTAAAAAAAAAGTTAACACCTGCCATGTAAAGAAAAAAAAAAGTGACTTTTATTGATCATACTCTAATGAAAAATTCTCTGCTACTATAAAATTCCCTGTACTACACAGAACCTGAAGATGGCAGCAAGGCCTGTACATTCATCTAAAAGGCAATGCATGATTTTAAAGCCATTCCCTATGAAAAGTTTCTGCAAGTAATTTCCAGCCCTCTAGCTTATTATAAATTTAATATATAAGACAAAGGGTTAAATCATCAAAAGCATCTTTGAACTAGAATATAGCATCGTTCAACAATTGTTTATTTGAAACCTAAAAACTATCTTCTGCTGCAACTCTTTCCAACAGTCATTATCAACACTTGGTATTTTAAATGTTTTAGAAGAGGTTACCCTTTAACTAAACTGCTAGAGTTTGAGAGAGACAAATTCTCTTTTCCCTCCAAACAACCCAGACATAATATACACCCTTTCAAAGGTATGTATGCTATATTACCCATATGTCAAAGTTCTTAATGTCTGTATAGCAATCACACAATACAGAAGAAATGACAGTATGCAGAGGATTTCCCATTTCCAATTTAGTTTGTGTACTATAAAGGTCCTCCACGTATTGCTTCCTAACAAAAAAGACATGAATTTAAAAAGGAATTTATCTTACAGACTGATCCGGATTTCTATAAGACACATGCCTTTAAACATGTGCACTGTTTGCAACACACTGGTACTACAGGTGCTAACGTACATAGCGGAAGTAGGAATGTTAACTAAGATAACTACAAAAATTAGAATCCTTACCCTAAACCCTCGATTGAGTCTGTCTTTCATAATGCCAATAAATTCTTTGTAACTCAACTGGTCATCTCTGTCAACATCAAAAATCTTGAACACCGTGTTCACCAAATGTGGCGAAAGCTTCACACCTGTGGCTACATACACAGCACGTTTGAATTCATCTGTGTAAAGAGAACATCAGAAGAAAGAACAAAATTAATTTAATTGTACTTTGTGACAACATATTATGAAATATAAGTAAACTTTTGAGTTTTTACATTTAAGCACTCAAAAAATAAGAAAATGTGAAAATTAGGATTGAATTTCACAGTTCTAAACCAAGTAGTTCTCAACTGATATAAAATGATGCTGTTTAATTGGTACCAATTATCTTATATGAAAGATAAGAGTCCATATACTATGTGTAATAACAAAGTTAGAAAATCATATTATAATTAAACTCACATTACATACATACCAATGGCATCTACTTAATTGACATCTGAAAACAGAACCTAAGAAATAGAGCACACGGAAAACAGTATAGTCCTTTGGTAAGGCCACATGAGGTGGGATTATGCTGGTGTGATGGTGTCAGACCCATAAGGATGCAACTTGAAGACAGCACACAAGTCCGACAACTTCACATACTGCTCATCTGCACTCCCCAAGCATCTTAACTGTTGTATTAATGATTTTAGTCAGAAGATACCTGCCTAGTTCTTTCAGCACCCACTTACTGATTTGTTCAAAAATCTGTCTAATCCCTCTTCAGGCCTTCTGACACTGTTTCCTTCTACACCCTTTGCAGAAGACCAGGTTCCAGATGCCCACTGTGTAAAGAAATGCTTGTGTTTGCTTTAAACTGATCTCTTATTAGTGTCATCAAGTGTCTCCTAACTCTTGCATTGTAGGATTTGGTAACCAACTATTCTGCATTCATCTTATCCAGCCCTTCTATGACTTCTTTGTAAAGCTTTGTTGTATCTCTCATGATATAACTGAGCCTTTACCTTTCAAAGCAGGAGTCCTAGCCTTTTTAGCCATTTACCTGAGACATTAAAACTACAAACTAGGAATTTCAAAACATTTTTGTAGTTTTGTCAACAGTTCTGTATCTTTATCAACAAATTTTTATACGAATATACTTACCCTGACCTATGGAACGACTTGCAAAATTATACATTTGCATTGCAATTGTAAAGTCTTCTAGGTTGTTCAAGAATTGGAAAAATGATCTAAACTCGTCAAATGTGATACCCTAAAAAAATGGAAACACAATATGCACCAGAAAAATTATATGTAGCGATGACAACTGAATGAATAAACCTTGCAGTTACATATGCCTACCAAATCTGTTAAAAATGCATAGACTTTCTTTAGGAGCAGTTATTTCTAGCAATCCAAGATGCCAGCTTAAATGAATCATTGCTTGGCATCTAGTTAGAAAAAGGAGGAAAACATCCTGTGAGCAGGCAGCATGCCATCTGAACATTTTAACGTGACTGCACTACGCCAAATAATCGTCGTGTTGCTTTACAGGCATCTACATATAGCACCACCAAAGATTAACATTGCCAACTGTGAGAGTAGCTGCCTACTACTTCACAGGCTAGACTAATTTTTCTTCTAAATGGAATCCTCTGGTTTCTATTAGTATTGCAGCATATCACTGCAACAATATAGGGAGTACATTTCATAATTTTCAAATTAGAATGTTACTACAGGTGTAAAAAGTGCAAATGTATGAATATATTATATTGCCTCCATGGCAATAAAAGGCAAAGTTCTCAAAAGCCTGGGACCAGTACAAGAGATGCCACAGTAATTTACTTTTTCCACTGTACTAACAGTGTATTTACCAAGCCAGTGATAAGCAGCTATGGAAAACGGCAACAATTTGTTTTACTTATGGGAGGTACAGCGTATGACACATTAGTATACGTCACTGGTCGAGTGCCAGGGTATTCCCAGAATGCAGCATAAGCAAACCTGTAACTGAGTGTCACAGCTTTCTGTGTGGAAGTATTCCATAACTCATGGTCCCACTGGAGATCAAGAAGAGGAAACTACTGTGGAAGGCTTGCTGTCAGAATAGTGGCATTGGAAGACTTAGAGATGTACTTCCAAGACTACTTCCCCTGGTTTAAAAGACAGTGTCTGTATCTGTATTTACTTAATCAACCTGTGCCATTCAAAGGAGTACTTCCGTGTAGCTACAAGTGTCATTTTTCAGTTACCCAAGATGTCACTGTTATACAAGCCCTGAATTTATCTTTTTTCCCCCAATTCCCATATAGATGCAAATCTTCATTCCACCCTGAACAAAAAACCATCTGCAAATCATGCAAAAAGAGTTTTGTACCACTTCTGGTGCACTCTCTTGGCTTTGAATACTGAATGCTGCACAGACCTTTTAAAGGTCTCAATCTTACCACTTCATCTTACACCTAATCTGGTGCAAAAGAGACAGTCCTACTTTCCCTTTCTGCTTCCCAGCTACATTCACCTCTCAGTGGACCTACTTGCTGTTCAGCCACAAGAAGAATAAGAAAATCCAGATATTTGAACAGAAAGCTGTTGATTTATTTTTGAGGTGTGTTTCTATCAGGTCAGCTGACTGATCTTACTTCCTCTGAACACTGAAATTACAATGTAATTTCTCAAAAAAACCCCAAACAAAAAAAGAACCCCAAAAAAACAACAACAAAAAAAACCCCAACAACAAACCACCAACCAAACCCAAAACAAACTCAAAACAAACCAAAGCTGTCCAAACTTTACAAGTTTTACTTTTCCTTTACAAGCTCTGCCATCAATGCTATTAAAATAGATAGCTATTTGAAAGAAACAGATTTCTAGGGAAGATCACCTTCTGTAAACACAAAGAGAAGGAGTATATCCAAAACATCCCCTATTTGAAGGGCTACTTTTAACATTATCCTACTGATTACAATTGATGCACAGTTGTGACTGCATTTGTCTCAGGTATACTTCTGACAACACACTGGTTGTTAAACAAATGAAGGACTATCTACTTCATGACCTTTACTGTTTTTATTATCTTTCCTCTCTTCAGCCATTAAGAAGAACCACATACCCATCAATAATTATATAGAAGTGATTAAGACTATAAAACAACTAGACAAAATGTCAGTTATTTATGAAGAGGTGCTATTCCAGTGGCAGTGCAAAAGAGAACAAAAATAAAAAACCACCTCATTTCCAGAGAATGGTTTTTTTCAAGTCATATGGTTTCTGCTGTTTAAACTGAATTTTCACATAATATAAATCTTTGTTACCTAAACTTCAAAAATATTACCACCCAAATCCTATGGAACATAATTCTATGCTATTTACTCTTCTACTTTTTATTCGAGAAGTAACCTGAAAAACATGAGACACACAGCTTATGATCACAGTAAAATCCTGGTGCCAATAAATTCAGTGACAGAATCGTACTCAGTCCAACAAGGCTATACTTTCCTATCAATGACACTGGGACTGAATGCTGTGGTCCACTGCTGTCGTCACTAAACAATTACCTTCTCTTCAGGAATCCTGCAGCGCATGTTTTCCAGGTAACTTGATGTATTTTCCACATTTGTATACCTCAAAAGAATATGGGCAAAGTCTTCCTCACTAATGGTGTTCATCCCGTTAGAGTAGGAAAGGAATTCTATCTCTAGAACTTCAGTCTGTAGGTTATCCATAAATCTAAAGCACGAACATAAATACGAAGAAATACTAGTACCTTACATCTGTACTATTCACGTCCTTAAAATACTCATAGAATTTAAAGCCAAATAGCATTGCACAAATTACTTCCTCTTTTGTAGTGCTGATGGCAAAATTGGTAAATCCTTTATCTATGTTCGTATATTTTCTAATCAATACAACGGTCTTAAAGATGAATTGTTTTACTAAGGATTAAATGACTTAATGCTTACATTTTTTATTTACTTCTAGTTTGTGTTTGCTTAATTTTCTTCTTCAGTGGGTCACTGATCTTTATTTTTATATCCTAGACTGAAAATTCCATGATGGTACAAAATGAATTCCCCAAATTTATTCCCCATATAGTTACTTCCCAATTGTGATTAAACCTTACTCTTTTAACAAGCTAAGTATGATGAGCTCTTGCAGCCTTTCAATCTAAAACCTTTCTTTTTTAATTCTTCACTATTCTTACAATATTTCTATAAACTCTTCCCATTAACAGCATATTTGGTAAATTCTGGACACCAAAACTGGATGAAGTATAAAACCAGCTACATATAAACATAATTTCCCTGATTCTGCTTGATGTCCTAGTTATACAGCCCAAGGATGGAATTAGCTCTCTGGTCACAGTACTGCACTGGGAGCGTATCTGATTGTTAACCTCTAAGTTCCTTGTTACAGGTTCACAAAGGTTCCCATCCTGTCAACATTGACAAAGGGAACATAAACTTCATGTACATCTGAATAAATGATGTGTATAGTAATATAACACATATTAATTAGACCAAGTACGCAAGTAGGCTTTTACAAGGAATTGATAAAGTTGAGACTCACCTATAAAAATCTTCAAAGTTCAGTTCAGCTTTTCCTTTCTTGCCAAAAAAGTGTACAAGCAGTGTAGTATCTGACAATGAACTTGAAATATCATCAGCACGCTTAAATATTAGAACAAAAAAATGAAAGGCCATGATTGGATTAGTTACCGAAGAATAATCTGAGAATGCCTATCATCACAATAGACATTTCTCTTAAAAGAGTTTGTGGTTTATGTTCACAGTCTGAAAAAAGAGTTTAGTATTAAGAAACATTAATTTAATTTAGTCATGCAATTTTCACACAAAATGGCATTAGGCTATTAATTGCATTTAGCAGGAAACACTTAAAACAGCAATATAATATAATGGAAATTACAATGAAGGGGAAAAAGTATGAAAAAGAAAACGAGAAACTTGGGGGGGGGGGGGATAAAAAAAAAATGTTCTTGTCAGTTGAGGTAAACCATAAAAATAAATCCCTTTGTACACAATCTCCTTTCCCTCTATTATGCAACTACAAAGAAATTAAAGGATGTTACCTCATATACTCCTACTTTTTATTTCAAAATTATTAAGTATGGGATTGTATTTCAAACCCAATCACATCAGTCAGGTGTTCTTTATATGATTCTTTTCTGTAAGTAGCAGATAATGACATTTACATTTTATTGCCCAAATACATTTAAAATAACAGAACTGTAAGAAATTTTGAAATAATGAAGTAATTCTGACTCACTCTCTTAAAAATGTTCCTCATCTATCGAGTATGTGGTCTCTGCATCAGACAGGAATCTTTGAACATGTACTAATACTATTTCTTTAATAAGTAACTACCATATTTGAAGGCACAGAGTTAGAATAGTAATGCCAACTAATTTTGACTATTCGTAATAGCAAGAGTTGTAAATAAGCAGACATGCATATAAACAGAAGTAACTATCATTTGTGTATAGTGACTGTGCAACATTCTACTTTTTTACTGCATATTCATTACCCTTATTGTCGTGTATATGCACTGATTTTACCTCTTTTACAAAGAAATTCTTGATACACTGAAGAGCTAGTAATATAAGTTAGTAATAAGAGTCTTAAATAAGCCACAGTATTCCCCATCATGGTAATGTCCATCTTGCATTAATGTGTGTCTGCCAACATTTGAAGTTCAAAAGTAGTATGCTTAGTCTCCTTGTTGCACCTGCCCAGGGAGAATCTTCTGTCTGAGCTCTCTCTTTTCTTACAAAGATGAGATAGAAGAAAAGCAGAGCGGAAGCCAGTAGTCTCTGCTCTTCCTATGCAAGCTACCACCCAGCAGCAACACCATATTTTTGCAGAAGTGTGCGTGCCAACTCTATTGTTGAAGTACAAAACAGAATACACAGTACAGAAATCTAGTAAGTATTTGGGAGATGTAACAGTATTAATTTATCAACATAGTTATAGACTATAAGCCTATGAGATTTACTATAATGACAGAAAACTGTTTATAAGTATCTATGAAGATCTGCATACACGAACCTGCAAACTGGACTTAAGAGTCGTCTAAGTCTGACTTTATTTTGTAACAGAAGAGGCTATAAATTTATAGCAGATGGAGAAACTCTAAATGAAGAAACTAGGACAAAAATTTTGAACAGTATGAAGTAGTTCAACATCATGTACCACAAAAAACTATTTCATATCTACATTCTCTGAAATACACCATATTAATTTCAAATTTACACACGGATTTATAAAAAAATGGAAAATGCAATATCCATTAGGAGTATTCATGTATTAATCACAAGAAAAAATATTAGGCAGTAACAACACAAATCCCTTCCTTTCAACATACAACAACTTAAAGAACAAGAAAGATTTTTCTGTACTTTAGTATAATCAGTTTAGGATTCTCAAGATTGTATTTCATGTACTCTAGCTTCCTCTTTATCCTCATATTCTGCTCCAGGGAGAAATATAATGACATAGTATAAACGTAGGCAGAGAGATATTTCATGCCCTTCAATTAAGACAGCTCCATTCTTCAAGTGAGTAAACTAATTCAGAGAAGTAATCACTATTTGTCTTCTAATATTGTTATCCTCCACTACAGGACACAATATACTGAAATGCAGATACCCTGATTTCTTATGTGTTTAAAGCAATTAAATCCCTCACCACATTCAAACAATATCCCTCAAGTACACTGAAAAGATATCAAATGATAAATTACAGCCTTTCATCTTGCAAAAACATTTCAAAATCTTAGACTTAGGTTGCATTCACCCATATTTAAAGAACTATTTAAAAATATACAATCTCTAAGTTTTTTCACAATTCCCATTTGGTCAGCCTCACTAAACGAAAAAATCCCAAACAAAAACCTCATCCCAGAAACAACCCAGTATGCTTCTCTGCAGAATTGCAGGCAACTGAAAACTATTCCTGTGCTCCTTCTGCACTTGACAGCATTAAATAAATTCTCTCTCTGAAGGGGCAGTGATTAAAAAAAAAAAAAAGCCTTAATAATTTAAAACTATTATTTATTGTTCATAAAAATTGAATTTTGTATTTTAGATCAGTGAAAATAAAATGACCACACCTGTTTCCATATACACAAATAAGCCTCTATTTTGATCTAATATATTGTGTAGTCATTTAAATGAGAATAAAGCCCTGCCTCATCTCTCTTTACCTTTACACTAACTGTAATACAAATACGGGTAAAGAGACAAACAGGAGAGACAAGTGTTTCAGTCACATTATTGGCTTGCTGCATAATGGCAACGTCTTTTCCTTTCAATTTCCTAACTTGAAGAGCAGTTAATCTATTTTAAGATTCTGAAAAATTAATTTCAAGCTTTCGATTAAAGAGGATTGACTAAAACTAAGTTATTCTCATAAGGGATGGTTCACTTGTAGCAACAAATTCTGAAAATGAAGTATGCATATTATGCTTTGAATTAGTAAGAGATTTCTTACTTCAAATCCCTGATTTTTTCTATAGTCATAATAACTCTACCGATTCCCAGTTTCGTATAGAAATCTAAGAATAAACCCACAAACTGAATCCAGTGATGACTGGCATATTCCAACAGGATGGTGTAGTTGCTGAATTAGGAATAGCTGAAACAGTACTGTAAGCTGCCCAGGAAACAAACTGGATGTGATGAATAAAGAGCAAAGAGACCTTGTAAGTTGATTCCCACAACAAGGAACCTTATTTGCTTTCCTTTTCAACTTACACAAGGCCTTCTCAAAAGGCTATGAAACAAGACAGATGCCAGTGTCACCTAGCTTTATGCCACTTTCTTTGTAGAGATGGCTATAATATTATTCAGATGTGAAAGTACCTGGGAGAGATAAGAATATGGATGAAAGCCGGCTGGCTTGACCTTAACCCAAGCAAGATAAATAATGATTATGGTGAGAAGTGGAGAATTGTCAGTGGAGCAAATGCAGGACATGATTCTTCTTCATAAAATGAGGATCAGAGAGACCTTTTATACATTTTATAGACCATTTAGATCAATGTTTAGTATAGCTGATGTTAAGCTTCAATTACATTGTAGTTACAGATACCAGTCTGAGTCATCAGATGTAAAAAACCTCTCTCTGTTTAAATTAAAGGTGTGTAGAAATTACCAAACTGAAGTCCATCTATACTTAGGACTGAATCCATGCCAGTTAATTGCAGATTAAGACAACAGTTAATTCAGGAAACTCAGTTCCTCAAGCTTCTTAAACAGTCAATGAAAATAGTGGCCCGCTCTCTCCTCTATGTCTGACTAGACAAGAATGATAATTTTCTGAGATTTAAAATCTGGTGGAAGAAATAAGGATTAATAACTGGACTAATACAGGATCTCATCAATTTAAAATCAAGGAAAGAAAGGCTGGATATACTGCTTTACTGCAAGATTACTACAAGGGTATTATTACTGTGAGTATTGCTACAAATAGTAACATAAAACTCAATTCTGTAACACTACATTTTGTTTTGTTCAAAGACAAACAGGCTCAAGCTGAGAGAGGTACAGAGAAGGCCTACTTGGTACCTGGGAAATGTAGATCCTACCCTAAGTGAAAAACCAAAGACCTTGCTGTATTTAGCCTATGATAATTAAAACTGAGGGCTATGGCTGCATTTATAAATACAACCATGAATAAGAAGATTAACACTACAGAAGAAAAAGCTCTATGAAAATTAAGGGACAACAGACTGGTATAAAGGGACTACGAGCAAATTTAACCTGGAAACTAGAAAAAGTCCATCCAAGTTCTAAGGTTATTCAATAGCTTCTGCAGAGGAACAGCAGGGACAAAACACTAATTACTTTTAATATGGAGCACACATTGCTTATGAAGCAAAAAAAAAAAAAGATCATTTTACCCTGGAGGTCCGTTTCTGTTCCTTGTTCTTTTCTCATTATGATCCTGCTTATGAAGCATGGGACTTGAGATCAGAGTCAGTGGGGAGTTGCTGTATGTCCTTTAATGCCACAACCAGCAGAGCAAGCACCCTCACTGTATGGGGCACAGAAAAGCCTAAATGATCTAGTTTTCTGACCCTCTTAAATGATCAATACAAATAAATGTCTCAATTATCTGAAAGCAGATCACGAAACAAGAATTTTATTAGAATTTAAAGCACTACAGAAATTAATTTGACAGCTCAGTGATATTGCTAGTCCTCCATAATGATCGAATGATATTAAGAAAAAGATTGATTAATATAACTTAAAACACTCCTAGTTTGATATGATAGTTAAAACAATCTTTGTGTGATACTGTTTTTGTGAAGATAAGCTCTGGAAACATACATAAAAAGCAATTAAGGACCTAAAAAAATTAAAAGCTTAGAGGTCTTCAACTCTCACTGAAGTTGTTGTATCACTGGACCAAGCCTAAATGACAAAGTTTTCCTGAATTACTTCTCTAACTGTGAAATATCATCACCGTTAGTGTTAGCAAATGCTTTGCATAGTAAAGACTGAAGAGGATTTGATATTCCAACTCTTTCAAAAGGTAATTTTGCTTTTACTTGGAAATTACAACTTTCAATTATTTTCACTGCATGGAACCAAATCTATTTCACCTTAGAACTTTCAGTGTTTGTTTTTGTTTTTTAAATAATTAAAACAAAGAGAAGAAACAAAGTGCATAAACGAGGAAAATAATCAGAAAATAAATAAATAAAATAGCAGTGTGTTTATGGACCAGAGACAGAGGTTGGCTTATACCTCCGCAAGGTCCGAAAAGAGTGCTTGGCTTGTGCTACGTCTCAAAGTATCCCAATAGCTTCTGGGAACAAGGTCCTCGCCTTCTGTTTTAAGGACCTGCAGAAGTTTCAAGAAGCACAATTGTTTGAAAACGAACAAACAATAAAACAACCATTCATTTACAGACTTCAAAACTTTTCCCAACTGATCTTCAATAGCATGGCTTGCTTCCTTTGTTTCTACACAGAGAAATTTCTATCCAGTTACATAACACTTTATAAATGAAAAGAACATTAATCTGTTACAGCTATTTGCTTATTACTCATAACCTGGCTGTGCCAAAAGTATCACCAGACTCCACTTCCCGAACAAAATCAGAGAAAATATCCATCTAAATTCAGTATTTTGCTGTTGTTTTTTTAAACAATTCTATGTTGCCCCCCAAAAAACGTTTTTGTACTTATGAAATTTCTCATTGTTCAAAATATAAATATTACCATACAGCTAGTTATCCAAAATTCTTTTCATCCAATAATGAGGAGGACATACTTGCACCAAACAAGAAATGGAAAAAGAAGTCTCATAAGTTCAACTTCAACTGTAACATACTTATTCAGAAAACACTATGCACATCTGATGATAAAACTTACCTTGTTTAAACAGAAAACAATTGATTAATCTCTCCAAGTAAAATACGCTTACCTTTTCCTCTGAAATGTTTCATTTTTTGAAGCCTGAAAAATCCTCCCTTATTAAAACAGACCTTCCTTTATCTTGCAATTAGTCTTGGAAGACTATGCAATACGTTTCTCCCCCATCACCAAAGAACCTAGGGGAAGTGATCCTAAAGACAGTAGAAGGCTATTTGAACTTGGTTAGGGTTACTGCAACTAAATAAACCTTCCCCTTTCCCTCCACAAGGTAATCTAAACTATGTCTCCTACTTTCACGGCTCCCCACTCACATCCATCTGGGCAAGCAAAATGAAGACAGAATGAGTTTAATCTTCTAACTACAAATGAAAACTTTTTTTTTTTACTCAGCACATACTGTTCTCTTGATTTATGCTGCTGTGTGACGTATAAACCCACACTGTTATCATAAAGAATACTGCACAGTGTTGAAGGTTTATTATCTCTATGTAGTCTACATTATGGTCAACACATTTGATGTACTGCTTCTACAAGTTCTATTACATATTTCCTCCACTAACCAATTCAACTCAGCTTTCTGTAAATTGTTATCAAAGAAACATGACAAACTACCAAGAATTATACCCATGCTTAATGTATACACTTCTGTTTCCTTTTTGAACAATTCTGGTTTTGTATCTTTCTCTTATTATGGAGTAACAGTTCCTACATCGTGGCCAGAGTATTCTCATATATAACTCCATTTAGTCCTAAACTGCTAAACTCATATAATTTGTTTACTTCAGTGTGTACAGGATTAGGTCCTTACCAGTTTCCCTCTTACACTTTGATGTTTTACTGGGCCACGTGAATAAACAAAACCTCATTCTTTTCTGCATACAATTCGTAATTATCTATTTTAAGTGTTCACTGAATTTGTGCTCTTAGTGGAGATGTACTTTAGCCAATGGAATTAGTACTTACGGGCATGCACATTTTATTTTCCTTACATGCATCTCATCATAATTATCATGTTCTGGTTGGCATTTGGCTAGTGAAAACACTCATGCAACACATGCTCATGTAGCCTCAACACACAGCTGCAGTATGCCCCAGAACATGACTTGAAAGAATAAACCTATTCAAATGAAAATACAAAAATATTTAACTCATTTTATATCTGTCACAGTAGACACTCTATGGCTTATAGACTAGACCCTGACACTTCTCAAAAAATTAGAACTGTTTTGAAGGATGAAGTGAGCAGTAGGGCCCAACGCTCTGGACCATCCCAGATATTTTAGGGCTGCATCTCCTGGGTCTTGAGTATCTTCAACTCCCCAGGACATCAAGGCAAACTGGGAAGGCTGCTACACGTCTTATTTCAGTAGGAGAAACAGAAAACCAAAATATCAATTTTCTGGGTGGGGGATTTGTCAGATACTGTCATTTTCCTATACACCTGAGTCTCCTTTACATGGTGATCTCCATTTAGGTCGTAGGAGGGCAGAAAAAGATGGTGCACACCTGGGCATCATCTTGATAATGAGTTTGGATGTGGCTGGAGTATAAAAGGAGATTGTTTACTAAGGCTTAAAATTATTATGAGTAGGAAACCCTAACTAGTTTGGTTTAATTTTAAAACAGGAGGCAGCACAGGAATATGGCAACCACTGTACAGCATCTTTCCCTGCAGTGAAGCCTGATCTAAAATCCACTGAATCATAAGGCCTTACATTCCCTACTACATTATTCTCAGAATACTGCAGCATCATGTCACTGCACCTTTTCATTCAACAGACTTCCTTCCTGCATACTGCCCAACAACTTCACAGGAAAGAAATATGCACATTCCTGTGAATGCTTATATAAAGAAACAGACTTTAAAATTGGAATTTCAGTAGTCATCTAGTTCTCGTAAGTTCCCTCTCCTCACTTTGACTATAATAATAATTGTACCCAAACAAGTTTAATTCTTTCATTTTAACATCTTTTTTTTTTTTTTTGTACAACAGTTTTACTTCTGCTGTGACCCAAAAATTAATCAGACCATGATGAAGACATTGGAAAACCCAGAAGATAATTCTCTGTCCGATTCTCTCTCCCACTCCTCAAAACTGACTGAAAGTAAGTTTACCATCACCTACATAATACAGGGACCATTTTCTGTAAATCCTATTCTAGTTCAGCACTGAAAGTTCTTACTTATTTGTTTTCTAAGTGAAGCACAAAAATAAAAAGCTCTCTTCTAGTTTCTTTTTTGGCAGGGGGAGGAACTAAGAGGTGAAGGATTCATTTGACTAATTATTATTTCACATTATACACAAGGAGATGAGAGAGACCTGGATCAAATGACTCATGCAGAACGACTTAATTTACACACATCAGTTAAAAACAAGTCTATGATTTCTTAAGACATATTTTGTCCCTTCCCTTCAAAGTAACATTTCCTTCATTTTCTATAAATAGAGAGAATATAAATATAAATAGCCTACCTTTCCTCCAGGCAGGCTTGCCTGTTTCACAGGGCATGCAACAAGCATGCAAAATCTTTTATGCAAGTAAAGATCCATTACATTTTTACTGATTAGCAGAAGTAATTTACTTGATGAAAAAGACAAATATAGTTAATTTTCTTATAGAAGACTATTTCAACTAACTGGTGAAGACTGCATACATTGAAAATAATTAGAGTACATACACTGTTAGTAGAAGTATGATATCCATACAGCTGAAGACGCTGACATACAGCAAACACGGGCCAAGCCAAGTATCACGTCAGAATGAAGCCAAAAGAAGAGGGGAAGAAGAAACAAAAAAAAAAAAACCAAAACAAAAAAAGACAACATAATAGGTTAAGACAGGCATATCTTTATTTTATATATTACTAGATTTGTTTGTTTTTAAAATGACAGAAAAAATGGTTTATCTTTAATCTCATTCTCCAAAATTTCAAAAAAGAAGTACAGAGTTGCAGAGATTACTCACAGGAGAAATGTTCTATTTTGCAATCCTTACTTTTGTCTAAAGCTCTTCCTTTAGGTGTAAGTTTCCTTTGTTCAGAATAAAATGTGTGAAAGATTCAACAACTGACCTACAGTTCTGAGAAACTGAGAAGGACAGGTCTCTCCGGGTGGGAAGAAGAGATCCCTTTTTATGCTCAGGGAAGGTTTGAAAAGTAGTTAATTCTTGAAATGCAAACTTCCTATGGTTTCAAGACAAAGATCTGAGATCAAGCACTTACGGTTTCAGAAGGATAACGGGCACTAGGAGAAGCTTTGCATGTATGACAAAAACTTTCTTGCGATAGGGAATTTGTGCAATAAATATGCAAATTGCAAAGGAACGTGTTTTTTTTCTGCTGTGAGCTTGACAGAGACTTGTCTCTGATTTTACCTGTCCAACAGTAAAATAAGTTCCTGCTACTGCTGCCATCCTCCAGACAAACCACCACAGACTTGTCTGACTTACTTTTCTTGTACACATAAAAAAATGCAAATTTGACATTCCACTAAAAATGTTTTGCATTGGTCATAATCAGTATTTAGTAAAAAAGAAAGATAAATTTGAATATAAAGTCTAGGTTCACTTGTAATATTTCATCAGCTAATTTAGACTCAGGATCAGTATGTCTACATGAACAGCTTCAGTTAATTATGAGTAAGAGCATAATTTGGTCTTGCCACTGAGATCACTCACTCTTACAGGCAATAACACTGGGACATTACTATTTACTTTCTTCTAAATTTATAGACTCCAAATGGAATCAATGCTATTGTCATAATATGTAATACAGTATTTAAACACTAATTTTTCCTATCGATGACTCAAATAGAGATCTTTTAAATAGCTGCAGTTTGGATTAAATATTGCTTTTTTCTATATATAAAATTATGCGTATTATTTTAATACTATGAATTTACCATTTAAAAAAGAAAGTGATTAATGAAAGACACAATTTCATCCTATATAAAAAAAAAAATCCAAACCAACTACCAGCTGTTACTATTCTAATTTCACTTACCAGCATTGCACGTTTTATTTCATCTCCTTTCCTTTCTCTCTTCTCATTTTTTTTCCTGAAAATTTCTTGTAGCTAAAAAACAAACCATTTTGTTCTTACTCAGTTTTCAGACTATTTCATATGCATAACAATAACTCATCTTGAGGAACATCGCAAACTAATTAAAATATCAGTGTTTCAATGGTGCTTTATTGTTCATATTCATGCCTTCATGTTCCTCCTTAACCATTACATGGAAAGGAAAAAGGAAGTAAGGCTACAGTAAGTACACAAAGTAAGGCTAATAATTCTATTTGGGAGCACAACACTTAGAACATCCTATTAAGCTTTACATTTTACCTAATCCAGCCTATACTAAAAGGGGAAGCTCCAGCCTTTTTCACCACCTCTAGGCACATCCTTTCTTGTCAGGTACTAATTAGTATCTGTGTGGCTATGTAGTCAGATGGATCAATCTTTTTTTTTCATATTGTTAGTTCCCAACCAGATCAGTTCTTACTCCTGCTGGCACAAGGGAGGGGTGGAAACAGCTGGTGGGGATGAAACATTCCCTTTCAGCAGCAACAAACCACTACTCAAGAATAATTTATCAAGTACCCTTTTTTTTCAAGTCTGTTCAAAGAACACCTTCAAGTCTTGTAAAATACCCCTTTCACAACTTTCTCTAAGAGCTTTAAACATGACTTCTGAGAAAACCTCAAATACCAGATCTAAACCATACAGATTCTTGAGCATATTTATTTTTTGAAATTCTAGAGTCTTCCAAGGACTGATCTGTTCTTTTCTTCCGTTATAAGTATCTGTTTTATTTTTATTTATAGTAATACTTGTTAATATTACCAAGCAATTAGAAAAAAAGTGTCACAATGTTTACTTTTCACTGCAAGAGAGATCACTAAGTATATAGGATGCCATCTACACCTCTACCAGCAATCTTCAGCTTTCGCAACCTGCATGTGAAAATATTGTACTGCCACTTGTAGCATTTGCTAATCTGAAAGTGGGCTGGAAAAAGTATAAATGCTGTGGGTAAAAAATTTCTTCTATCTAGAATATGTTATTTTCAGAACCAAACATCATGGCATAGAGACACAACTGTGGCAGTTGTTTCAAAGATCTGATTTTACCTACTAGAAGTCTGATAAAAACCTGATACTGTAATGACATGAACACAGAGCTCCCCAGGGACCAGAATGTGAAAGACAGAGTGTGTGTGATAAATTTTGCAAGCAAATTTATCAAATTGAATTTCAGAATACCGCACTTCAGAGAAGGCAGATTACGCAGACAAAGGGTTCAGCGAGATCTACTGCAGGGGCGTAAGAACACTGAAATAAATAAACAGTGTTTAGTGATTAAACAGCAAATGAATTTATAAATAACGTTTTATGAATTTCCAAAATTGATTACTGTGTTCTGGAATTGTCTCTTTCCAGAATAGAGCAGAATATTGTGTGTATATATTTTTGAGTACGGGATCAATTTACAGACCTTAGGTTTTTTCTCATTTTTTTGCAAACCTGCAGTCACAAATTACCATAACCTATGCTGACAAGGAAAGAGTCACGATAGGACATTTAGCTGGATGGTGTAGAGTATTACACAGCTTGCAACCCTAAACTGTGGAAAGAAGAAAAGTAAATCAAGAGAGAGAAGTAGAAAGAAAATACCTTGTAAAAAGTGAAGTGACAAGCCATCAAGTAGGAGAGAACAGTGGCAGCAATTGAAAACCAAAAAAGAACAGTAAAAAGCAATGCATCCTTGGATGTATTTCCCCTGCCACAGAGGCAAAAGGAGTAGGATTCTGTTGCATTCATCATTAAACCACTTGCTAAACTTCTGGAAATGGATCTTTTGTTCAGAAGAAGTGCTACAGGATACCAGTGAGTCGAAAAGTGAATGCAAAAAGGATCTAGGAGTACTTTCATAGGAGCATTGTTTGAAAGAGGATAATGAGACTGACTGCTGAAAGCAGCAAAACCAAGATCTCCTGTAACAAGGCAACACGATCCTTCTGTTCCCTGACCTCCACTCTATGGCATAAGCAAAGAGGAAAGCACAAACACCATGGAATTAGTTTACAAACCCACTAAAGCTGTTATCAGAAAAATTAAGTGTTTGTCAACTCTTCATTACACATACTCTTCAAAAATTACATGTAATCCCTACACCAATCTCTTTAAACTCTCTACATTTGCAAATCTGAATAGTGTTAACTATACTTTCAATCCCATGACTGTAATCAGCGGAGAAGTATACTGCAAATGTTAGATATCATTCCAACAGCAACACTTAAGAGTGTCCTGCTACCAGGCACACAGGAGATGATGCACATGCAGGTAAGGCAAGTAGAGATGCCAAATGTATGTTCTGGGGCCAGGTCTATCACAGCTGCGGCATCACTGAATCAACTTTTATTTTCATATTTACTTTTATTTACACAGACGTTATCTTATCTACCTGCTGATCTATTTTAGTCTTTCTCACTTCAGATATAACATTCTGACTTACAGGTTTTGATGTAATTTTTGAAGGGTCACTGACACAGTAATCAAGCGTTTAGGATCAGGTCTAATTTATACAAATTTGTTAAATACAGTCATAGGTGGAGAACAGTATATCTAATGTTGGAAAATTCTACATTCTTCTATCCACCAAGACTGGTAAAGAAAAAGAATAAGAAGGAGAAGTTTTTATCAGGAACTATGGCAGAGAACAAATGAAAAGCAAGATGTGACGAAGACTATAGAAGCATGATTAGAAAGAAAGATGAAATATCCACAGTTAAATGTTGTCCTTGCTTCCTGCCTTATATACTTATTTGATTTCATTCTCAGCATCAGCTTCTGTAAGACAAAGCCTCCTGCTTCAATTTCCTCCCATTTAGCTATTGTAATGGAAGCCTTTTTTAAAAGGAGAAAAAAAAAGTTGTCAGTCTAGTCCATCACATTCCGTTTTATTGACTCATGAAAGACCTTTTTTTTTTTTTACTTCTTCCTCTATTTTCCTTTAGCCAATTAATCCAGTGTTTGCTGGCTTTTTCCCTCAAGTGGAAGAGACAGTTGTTAGGAATTAGCAATTGTAAATATATATACATTTAATACAAGAATACAAAAAATTATCAGCACGCCACAATTTGAAAGTGGTGACAGCTTCCAGAATAAACAAGACCTGTTCTGCTTAAGCTAGGCCACAAGAAAACAAGACCTCAGATCTCACTTCCTTGAAAAGGAGAATTGAGGGAAGTTCAGTGTTTTGAGGACAGTTCCTTTCACATTTCCCATTTCTTTAGCTTAGCATAGCTTATATCAATCAAGCCTTGTAACTTCACTTGAAAACAATTAAGAAACAGCACACAGGAAATTAGGAGGTCTTCGTTTTAGATAAACCATGGTCTGGAACTGAAATCCATTCCATGTGCCTGTTTCCTCTTTATATTTTGTTCTATTTTCTTCTTCTTCAGTTAGGCATTGGGCTTTTTCTCATGCGTTTTACTGCATTTATTTATAAACTCAACTATACAAAAAATGTCTGAAGAATTGATATCTTCTGCAAATATATTTTTTACAAACATCTGATTAAATTCTTCTAAATATTTTTTATTCTATTAATCACCTGTACTTGTTCAGTAGAAAATAAAGGCCTTGTGCAGTCTTCAGAAAGCTTGTCTAAACCACTAACCACAACATTTTAAATGCCAATTTTGAAAGAAATGTCCAAACCTATGGTTTTGCCATAACTGAGTGTTTCAGTGTAATTCCAGACATCTGCTGCGTATGGATATTACTGATTTACAAACCTCTGATTTATACTGCATTGTGCAGTTTGTTAATGTAAAACCATGTAGGCGCCATGAAATCAGAAGCCTCAGTGCTGAGTGGGCAATCTTCTGCATTTCATGATTTTTAAAAAAATGACCAATTTTTTACTTCTTCAGTGACATTAATTTAGAACAGCATTAACTATTCTCTCTTTTTCTCTTTTTAATCAGAAAATAAATAACATTAACATAAACCTGAAACAGCACTCTTGTTCCAAGGCTTTTTAATTTTATACTTGTCAGTGCAAACATGATTCTCCTGTACTTAGTGGACCCTATCACCTTAAAAATGATGAAATATTAGAATTTTAAAATGCAATTATCAGATTTATCACGATCAAAATCAATTTATAGTGGGTGATTTAAGGCTTTTTGAAGATTTTCTGTCAAGTGCCTAATTATTCTTAATGCACAAATCTCAATTAAGTGAAATAAGCCAATTTTTCTTTCAAACACTGGGCCTTTTAGAACTGTTTAAATTTCTAACCAGAAGAAAAATAAACTCTCTGTTTAAATAACTGGCAAGAAGTATTTACAGAACTGCTTTTTCCAAGCAATAAACTGAGTAAAGCTCTTGTTTGAAAAATACTGTAATTCAGATTTGTAATTAACAAAACCATGGATATAATGAAACTACTGACAAATTCTAGATGTCCTGCCAACTGTTCCTAAATTATTCAGCCCAAAATCAATTTTGCTATCAGGAATTTTCTCCTTAAAAAGAAATCACTGAACTCCAGTTTAACAAATTGCCTCAGCATATGGATTTCATAGGCTGAACTAGATTATATATACACAGTATGTTTTATTTCATCAAAAATCTTCTCCAAAACAGATGATAGTATCACATTATGTCAGTCAACATTTGCAGGTCACCTGGGTTTATATGCAAAATGAATGACAAAGTGAAGTGGTCTCCCAGGAAAAGATTCTTTTGCAAGTCCCTCCACTATTATGGTAATTAAATTATTCTGCTGACCACTGATACAACAATATTATTTTAATAGGCTAATTACCTGTGAATGGAGTACCAATTAAAAAGATCCAGAATAAAAACTGGAATTAAGATTCAAAAATCATTATATGCAACACACCTGTGCACTGTAATAAGGAGCTACTGATTACGATTTACATTACATTTGCCATTTACATTAAATAAGACACAACCACATTCAGTCAACAGCTCATATTCTCATTATTACTGACATCAGACAAAAAATGAACTTGAAAAGTAGATAAAAATACTTAAAGAATAAAAATATACATACCACTAAGAATTCCTTTTTGTCCACCATCTCATTGCCATCAGTATCAAACATGTTGAAAGCAATTCTAAAGCCTGCATGTGGCTCTGCAAAAAAAAAAAAAAATCCCTATCAAGTTATTTATTTGCTTGGAAAGAAATCAAATATAGAACTATAAGAAATTATTTGGTGTCTGTTTGTAACAGCCATATCCTCAACTAATTTGAATTAATGCATTTGTGTACATAGTAAATGCAAATCCTAACATCTGTAAAATCCATGTTACGAAAACAGAAGGCATGCTCACAGATTCTTAGATTAGGGGAAATAGTAGCAATAGAACATGAAATATTAAAAAAAGAAAAATCACACAGCACTGGCTGGTTGGGTAGTTTAGAGTGTTATAACTAGAGTCCGTTTTGTTACAAAACACAAATTTGTAGAAAATAAATTTTCTGTGAAAACACAGCATTCTAATAGACACTTTAAAAAGTTTTGCAAAAATGGTGTAAGATGCAACTTCTGGTCAAAACAAATGATGTGTTGAAAAAGACCCAGAATTTCTTGTTTACGTGTCTAGACTCTCTGAAATACAAAATTAGGTTCGAATTTTGAATTATTTCTGAAATATAGAGATTTTGAAGGTAACTCTAAGTGAAGCTTTAGGCAACATTTTGGTGATACTCAATAATTTTCAATATGGATTAATAATGCCCAGAAGTTAGTAAAGATAACAAGGAATTTATGGAAGAATATACACCGATCCAACAGTTAGATTGTAAGGGTTCAGGGTCAAGTTCCTGCTCTGATTCATAGTAAGAATCCAGACCATGTCTGGAGACAAAACCCGCTAATTAATTCAATAAAAATGTTTTAATTACATACAAACAGAATAGAAGTGAAACACTTCGCTCCTTCCCAAAAAACACCTCTTTAAAATCAAAACATAGCCTGTATTGGCTTAGATTAAGTTATTCTACTTTGGTTTTATGGATGGTAGGAGAATAAGTATTCAATTTTGTTAGTGTTTTCTAGCATAAACAAACATTTACTTCAGTTTGGCAGGTTTTGTATTTTATCACTGTCTCGCTGACGTCACCCATTATGGACTAATAGGTGAAAGAACCCCGTAAGAATGTGTATCTTTCTCTTCTCCCTATACTCAGTATCCTTTATGAACTTCAGATAGAACTTTTGTAGGAATTTCAAAGAAGAAAATAAATTTAAGGTCTTAACCGGAGCTTAGCTGAAATGTACGGCTCAGCTTTCTCATCAGTAAAAGGTGTTCACATCAGTAAAAGCTCGCCTAGATAATAAAGCACTTAAATAAAACATAACACAAGATTCCAGTAGGACAGAAGAGTTTCGAATGGACACAGAGACGTATGATATGTAAGAAAAAGGAAAGGAAAGAGTACTGTAACATACAACACATAAAGAACTTGTAAATTTATACAAAAACTTTTGGTTTTGTTTGTGGTTGGTTGGTTGTTTTTTTCCCTTCCAAGAATACTTACTTGTTAAAATACATAAGAGGAATAAATATTCTGTGTAAGATATCACACCTGAAGACAAAACAAAAAGTTATGCCATATTAGTTTTACCTTGTCTTCACATCCAACCTGAAAATATTAAATCTATATATAAGAGGAACAATTGTTGTATATGCATATACATACTTGTGTACATGTGACTGTATTCAAGCTGGTCAATGAGTTATTTGTCTAAAATACTGATCTATGGGGTGGAGGGTTTTGTTTGGGTTTTGTGTTTTACTATTTTAGGGGAGGAATACATTGAATATGGCAAATAGACAAGTACAGTCAGTGGAGAATGGCTCATTAAACAGAAGCTGGCTAGATACTTAGAAGTTAATACAAATTACTTACTTGATTTTCTTTCCTAAAACCCCACTGATAGCTCATGACAACACTCTCTAACAGCATGAGAACATTAATAGTGCTCCCTCTTGACAAGTACCATCTGAATACAGTTCTTGACTTTAATACGTATTTCCTAAATTCATGCCCTATATTAATTGAAAACTTGGCCTCATGTTACTTATGAAAGCACAGATTTTGAGTTGTCCTTATATGAACATTTTCATAATCATTACCTGAAGTTTACACTAAAATTTATACTAAATGAATGCATAATTTTGTTACGCATTTTTAAAGCCTCTCAGAGTCATTTGTACTATCCCTTCTTCTACGTTCAGAAGTAATTTAAGGAATACAATCTAAGCTTTTAACCTTTCATTAGATGTCAAAAGGCAATGACAGTGTGGAATGGCACTTCCTTTTCTCTTCAGCAGTGATTAAGGCAAAATTTAAATTAAAAGGTGAAGTGAATATGCAAATAGTATGTCTGGTACTATAACCTGTACTTCTGCTTTTTTCTAGCTGTGGGGTATAGAGATAACATTGCAGAATGCCCATAGTACCAACAAAGAGAAGCATCTTACAGTTCAGTAAGTACTGAAAACAGTGACTTGCAGCTTTCCCAAAAGCCCTTAGCTCTAACGATCTCCAACACTGAACTAGCAAAACTGGTTCTTGATTTCTGACCAACTGATTTTGTCTGTACTCCAAAACCAAAAGTGTTAAGTCAGTCCACAATACCAGACTATTTCAAAAGAGTAAGAAAAAAGTAATTAGATGCCTGAGAGTAAAGATGTCTATCAATTGGGGTTTTCAAAAGTTGCTGGCTGTCTCCTTGATTTCAGTCCAAGTCAGGTGCAAACATTTTTCTAAAAACAGCCACATCTTTGGATGTTTAAATATCTTTTAAAATCTGACTTAACTGAGTATGTAACAAAGCATGTAAAGTCATCTGATTTTTTTTCACTGAAAACCCTGTGCAATTAAAACATTTTATCATTTTACATTTACTGAACACATTTAGCATCTTCTACTAATATATACAGCACCAAAAGTTCTAAATTAAATCTGTACTGTAGCAATACTCAGGGGGGACTCTCTGTCCTCTTGAATAGCTGAGATTTTAATATCTCAGCTATACTTCTCTTGGATCTGTCCAAATTTCTAAATGCCTCCGAAAACCTTCAATGATACTTCAATACTCCTCCTCAAGAGCAATTGTCCTGAAAGAGGAGGATCTTCAAGAGAATCAGGTCATCTATCCTCAAACATAAAATATCCAACCATGGAGATCTTAAACCCTCAACCTTTGTTAGCTTAAACACTGCTCATCCAACTTCCACTCCATTCATCAAAAAAATAAAGATTTTCCCACCTTTTGATCCAAGAAAAAATTTAACTCTTCAGAATCAAGATTATAGTACTGCTAGTAGATCTAGTTAGGAAGGCTACCAAGCATTTTTAATACCACCTACTCTTTTCCTCAATTTACACATAGCTCCACACTGAAGATTAGCGAAGATTAAATGCAGGCATTTAAGTACACATGTTCTATGCTTTCTCTTCTTGATTTTATACAGCAGCTTGCAGAAATTAGTTTTCAAAGCCCTGCTTGAATCTTTGGACAAGCAGCTGTCAAGAAATCAGATACCTCAAAGGTTCTCATCCAGTGATGTAAAGAATTCTTTAACAGCCAGTCAGTAAATTTAAATATGTATTTTTGTTTGTTTGATGACACCTTCTTTGTTGTAAAACAGAGGAAGAAGGTGTGTTTGTAAGCAGTCCCTCACAGGTACTACTGAGAAAGCAGTATAAAAGACCTTGAAAGCATTCTCTTCTTTTGTTTGTACTGGTATATTGTGGCTGTAGATAGTTCTGGTTGATTGCTCTCAGTGTTACAGGAGAAAGGTTCTGAAATGACGATTGAATAGAAACAAAAGCTTACACTAAAATAGAAGAGAGGGAGGTCACTCTGGGGTAAAACATAAAAATAAAACTTAAGGACAACTGGCACAAACCTAAGTGGCTCATCTGATTTAAATCAATCTATAGCAAAATACATGGGCATAGGCTTCTGCTACTTTCTTCATATTAAAATGTGCGCATTTTAAAGAAAATTAGTAAACTAATAAATAAAAAAAACCTCACTAATGAAGGATTAAGGAGACCTGAATTCTATTCCAATTCCTTTCACTGGCTTACTGAATGAACTTGTCAGTCATAAGACCCATCATCTTTTCTTTTATTAACTATAAAAAGGGATAACGGAACTCACTTTTTCATAAAGCATGTTGAAAAGCTATGGCACTGCTAAAGCTTATTACTAATTTTACCAGATTATGATGCCAGTTTTGAGTGCTCTGATTCCACCAACTTCTGTAGAATTTCACTGGCAGAAAACTGGAGTAAAATATTGTAGAATTAAGACTGCACACTGCAAATATTTTATTACAGACCTACTAAGCAACACAGAGGGGTATTTTTTCCCACTGATAACATACTGATGTAACAGATTCTGAAGCTGAATTTTTATGTAACTAATATTTCAGAAGTCAGCTGTTCTGACTATACAGAGAGCAGCCTAGAGCAAGGAAATACAAGAAAATACAGTGCAAAGATGTGCCAGCTTTGCATCTCTGGAATTCTGGCTGCAGACTCAGGGGAAAAAAGCAAGCACTTCCATGCACTAGATTCAAACTTGAGATCCTCCTCTTACATGCATACTTACTCCGTTAGTAAATTTGAGCTACACTTAAAATAGATCCATCAATTACATGCACGAATTTGATTGAAATTTCGTTGCTGGTATGCTTATTTTAAACATTCCTAAACCATCTTTATTTTATACCAATTACTTGTGGCTGCTTTTTAAAACATTTTAAAATGCCCCACCAGATTTTTGCCATTCTGAATATAAGCAAAGGAATATGTGGATTATTTATCACAACTAACTTATAAATGTCTGATACAAGCCATCATAAAAAAAAAAAAAAAAAAAAGGGACGAGAAGTGGCTCTTGGCTCTTCCTTTACCAATAGTGTGTTTTAAAAGCTATCAAAGCCCTTATCTGCAGAATTTAAAGGAATATATAGCATTTCTGAAACTGTCTCTTTGTGAAGAAAATGCTTATTTAGTGATATAAGATACCATTACTCTCTTTAAAAATAAGCACATCACTGAACCTATTAAAAAAAAGTAAAGAGATAGTGTCTTCATTAGAATATTGTACTTATGGTCTATAGATCATTCTTTGTCACAATGACCTGAACTTGAAACATTCAAACACCAATTTAACGAACCCTAAGATACCAATTCACTTGAAGAGCCTAGCTGAAAGATGGAATGATTAAAACACTGTAGAAACTAAAGAGAATTTTTTCATGCAGTAAAATGTAGAAAGCAACAAATGCTTTTTATCTTGTTGAAGATGTGACTCAGATTAAAGCACAACATCACTTCAGCCACACTAAATTAACACAAGTGATAATTTGTTTCAGGAAAATGAACTACTATCCCTCACCTTTCTCATTAAGATTACGAAAAAGTTTGGATGATCCTTTCCAAACTGGTGGTGTCTCCATGAGGATCTGATTCAGCTCCTAAAATAAGATTTAAAAAAGATAAAAGTATATGTTTAAATATTTGATGAAATAGTTAACAGATTATGAGTAAATGCTAGGAATCAATATAAAAGACAAGGAACTGCATGCAAATCTACTGGTTAATTTAACTTCAGTTTACCACAATGACTTTGGAGGTACTCAAGCACATAGACAAATTTTGCACACATGATAACTGCAATAAATACTCATCCGCATGAATACTATTTGCAGAGTTGGAGAGAGATATGTAATGAATTTGCTGCTGAAATTACTCACCACTGCTCATATTCACTGAAGCCAAGGATAAGTCCCCCTAGATTTCAGTAATGTTTTCATGCAAGTTCCAAGCAACTGCTCTTTTAAAACACTCAACCTGAACTAAAGCAAACTTCACCCATGAATACGAATGTACTTTACTTAAAATACAGAGATACAGATAGAGTCTTTTTGCAGTCGTACAAATGTGAGAAAAAAAAAAAAAGAGACACTTAACATGGCAAAACGTAGCAAATGACATAAGTATTGTACGCAGTTTTCCATGTACCTATTACACTGAAGATACTAAAGAAACTCAAGTCAGATATGGGCTGAGGAAGGAACTGACAGAGGCTTGAGAAAGTCAGTAAATCCACCATAACAGGCACAGCTGCCCAAGTAAGTATCTTTGAGACTCTGCACTCAGCTGAGTCTGAAGTGACAAAAAAGAAGAAATTAGAGTCTCTTTCTTTTTAAAAAAAAAAAAAAAAAAAAAATCAAAAATGTCCCTTATTTCTCCTGTGACTAGGTTTATCTCATGAAAAAAAGTAAGTGTATCAAAATCTACAGTTTTAAGACAGCACAGGAATTATTTCCCACCTGCTTTGAAAGGGATCGCCACTTTTTAGTACCTGCAACAAAAGACAAAGTTATGAATGCACAGAATTTGTTTATGCCAATGTGGTGTCATAAAAATTAGACTGCATCTATATTATGTTTTCTAACCAAAGAAGAGCTATTTTGCCTACTGCATGAGGACAGTATTTGACCTGGTTCCAAAAAATTCTCTTTTGTTATTTAAGAAATAATTAGCTTAATACATACATAAACTCCTAACTTTAAAGAACCAATTCAGATGTATAGTTTTTAATCCAACTCTGGTTCAGTAAGAGAAAGTATTTTCTACCTCCAAAATACACCATTAAAACATTAAACAGGAAATAGAGGGCATTCATGTTAACCAGTGGTATCAATATCCTGAAATGATTACTTAGTAGCAGCAGTATTACAAAGCAGATTGTAGGAAGACCTGGATTCTGCTCTGGCTTCAGGGGTTGGAGCCTTTTAAAGCAAATCCAGAAAAAAAAAAGTCCTTGAAGCTACAGCAGGTGCCAAGACTCCCTTTGGCCATTCCCAATAACTTGGGTCCATGCTTCCTTTTACACCTTCTGTCATGCTCAATGTTTTGTTAGTAGTCTTAAGAGAGGAGCTGAAGAGGGCCTCCAGTTCAGAGCTGTAACTGCTTGTTAACAGTGAAAACTGATGAGTAAGACTGAGCAGATGCTTTTTTCCCAATGCCTCACATGACAGACTCCAGGAGCAAAGATACTTGCATTTGACAACAGTTGTCTGAAAGTATCCAAGAGGTTCATCATCACCCAAGACAAACATGTGCACAGATTCAATATTAAGATAAAGCACTGTGAATATCAAAATTCACAAAGGTACAAAAAGTAGCATAGCGTGTGGTCAAATCCATAACTTTCCGGTTGGTAAAGGCTCATTTTATAGAGCAAACCACTCTGGTATTAGAAATCCCTTCCTTATGATGAACTCCATGCTCTATGAAGTAATTACCACGATACAGCAGCTACTCACTATAGTCTATCATTAGTTCATGGCTAGAAACTTACTGAAATTTTAGTTTTACATCTTGGTAAAGGTTAGCACCAAGACTGTCCACAAAACTGTAGACAAATTCCAGTCTAACTATGGTGGAATTACATCAAGCAACAGCATAACATGAGCTAGCAGATTTTCATATATTTTTCAGTTTAAATTGTTAACGTCAATTAAAGTCTTGTTTCAAGATATTAAATACCTCCCCCAACAATCTCATTTGCCATACGAATTGATATATGTTTATGCCTACCATAAAACACTTGGGGAATAAATATATCTAACTTTCCCATCAGATAACTTCCCAGTCTCATACGTTATATATAGATTTTCTTTCTGGACAAGCAAGTGAAAATTTATCTTACAGCTCAGTGTTAGTCTAAAATTACTATAGTTAGAGCTAAAGAGAACAAAATACATTTCCTCTTCTCTTAATTGGCTTTCTAAATATATAAACATATATATAGATGACAAAAATGTATCAAGCATGACTGCTAAAACTATTGTATTTTCCCAAATGACAGCCTGCACCAAAAAATCATCAGCAAGTTAATTACAGCATTTATCATATACCTATTTTTATAATAACCATCTGGAGTCAAAAGTTACATTTCACAAAAGAAAATATACTCTTGCAGTATTAGTTAGTGTTTAATCAAAAAAGGAAGTGAACACCCTCTTGACTTTTGTAGGGTTTACAAGATTTCCAAAGTAAATCTATCACAATAGACGCATTCACTCCATCACAAATCTCATTCAGGTCTAGTATTATTAGCTTTTCTAAAAAGCAGACACAAAGAGCTACTATTATTACTCTTCAAAGGGCATTTTTGCTTTTTGACAAAACTCAAGACCTTTCTAGTCTTCATCCACAAAAAAAAAAAAAAAAAAAAGCCAGGGGAATGTTTTTTTCCTGCAAAATACAGATGCTCTACTGTGTCAGCCTGAATGGACTCGATTATTCTCAACTTGAAACTTATTTACAAAATGATTCAAAAATACCAAATAAGATGTTTAGAATGCATTATTTTATTCAGAAAAATACCTTCCTTAAACTTATTACTTTCAACAGAGCACAGCAGAAAATTAAGACTTGCCCAAACAGACAAAGCTGTACTTTGACAAAGCTGCAGTACAAAGGTTAAAATCAACACAGTTGGAGATCAAAAGCTCGAAGTGGTAATCTGCAGGATATCTACTTCATCTATTATTTCCTACTTGTCAGCCTTCTTCCAAACGTCCCACACAATGACTTCCACTATAATGAAGTCATCCACTTCTACTTAGTTACAGCCTCTTATGCTATCCCTTAAAATAACTATCTCAGTCATGTAATCTCTGATACTAGTCTATAAAACTAAAGGACATCCAGGTTAGTTTTGCTTTCCGTCTCAGAGACGAACTGGATGCACAGGAAGGATTTTGGTACATAAAAGATTTGCCACACTCAGAAGGCTGCCTAACTGTTCAACTCCAGCTTTCTTCACCTTTGGCATGAGATGAACAGAATGCCTTTGTGAACTTAACATTTTTTACTTTGGTTTGGTTTTTAAATCTGAATACCTACTGTCAGGAAACAAATTTCTTTATCATGGAAAAATCTTAATAGAAAATCATACATACAGTGCATTCAAACCAATCAAACTGTCATAAAATTGAGTTAAACTGAAATGTTTAACTGACGTCCAGTATATGGCACAAATGCTTCATGACCATACATGGTGAAACCCAATTCCATAGTAACAACAAAAGGAGGATTTGGAAATCTGGGCAGAGGAAGTAGATGTAAAATGCTGATGTGTATTTGTATTAGCTTCTGTGATAAGGAATGTGCTTCCTCTCTTTTAATTGCAGAGCTAAAAAAGAGAATGAAGATTTGCTTTCTGGTAAAGAGTTTCAAAGTTTTCCAAGTTTTCACCATCTAAGCTTCTGTCTTCACTGTTACAATGAGATTATATCTTTATTCAAAAGTTATAGAAGTTTTGATCACTGATGTGCCACGACTGAATTCTTTCCCCGTTTCATTACTGTTTAGAGAACAAAGGGGAAAAACCTAACATCTGTGCAGAGCTTTAAGCTCTCCATTGACTGTTTTAGCTGCTTTTGACTGTTCTCTATACTAGCTTTGTGGTGTAGGCTTTAGGAAGAAAGACCTAAGGTGAGTTATTATACATGTCACACCTGAGCAAAGATATTCACTTTCCCCAGAAGTTGTGTGCTGCTACCAATGCACTGCAAGCCTGAGGGCTAGGAAATCAAACTACATCAGAAATAGATCACCTTACTATTTAGTCACTCTTTGATACTTAAAGCAAACATTTTACAATAAGTGAATTAAAGCTGATAGTTTATTTTTCATTAATTTAATTAACACATAGTGCTAACTCTGGCAACTTCTAAGCGTAGAAAGTAGATCCCCTGGGGGATTGAAACTTTTAGTCAAAGCATGTTATTTAGAAAGATGTGATATAGTTGTAAAATCTCTGTAGGGCAAAAAAATCCCAACACGATAGCAGATTACAATTTAAGATGGCAAAAATTGCAAAATAACACTATCCTAAATTATTTAGGGAACTCATATCTTGCCTGCCTGTTTACACAGAAACTTCTCAGAGGAGGAGCAAGAGTTTTACAGCTATACTGGCCTGCTCAGAAAAAAAAAGGTAACTGTAACTGTGTCACTGCAAATGGTACAAATGAACTTCTTGTCTTTCATGCCTGTTGAGCTATCTGTGACCTCTAAGACAAGAACATTTAAATAATGACTAGTATACAGATGTTTACAATCTAATAACAATCAGGATACTGATTGTATGCACTTGGGAATAACATTAAAAACAAAATTCTGGAAGATGCAGTACCTTTTTACCACAATCAGAAACAGAAGTAGTAATCAAAAGCAAATGGAAAAGTAACAGACATGACTGGCATTTTCCCTAGCAATTTAACCAATACAAAATTCCTGCTTACGTTTGGGCTCATCACTTGTGACAGCCTGAATGAAGTCGTATGGAGTCATATATAGCTGTCCTTCAAATTCTAAACTGGCAAACCTGCGAAACCGTTGCTCCCGAGGAGTTGCATAAAGCTCCAGATCTTCAAGGTCGGATCTGTTTTCTGTAACCTTGAAAGACAGAAGGAAACAATTTTAATGTACGAAAGAAGTTTTGGTTTACAATTTCCACTGCCATTCACCATAGAGAAACTGTAAATGTAAAGGTGATAATTCATAAGGTCCATGCATTCAAATATTTTTCTATGAGAGCTGAAACTACAATCAGGATTTCACTGCTATCATTTTTGGCCTTCTACAATTTTAGCAATATATCTTTATGTATTCAAATTGCTGACACCTTCCAAGCTCAAAAAAAAAAAAAAAAAAAAAAAAGGGAAAAATAAAAAGAGAGAACTTGAATCACAGAATAAGGGGCAACTACTTTGACTCAAGGAAATCCAAGCAACTTCACCAGTCAAACTTGAAACAGCTCTGCCAAAATTATTTAGTTCTCTGACATTCCAGAAGAGAATGGAATAACTTTTTTTTCAAATATTGCTTCTTAGTGTAGAGCACAGCTGTTGACAATAATAAGCAAGACACCTCCATAATATACCCCAGTGTAAATCTACGCATACCACTGTATCAAGTATCCAATGCAATTAAAGCTGTCATACTTGCAAACAGAAGAAGACAAAAGCACAACTACTCCTTCAGAGTTGCTACTATATGTCAGCAAGCTCACACCTCATGAGAGTTTATAGATGTCAGGAGTCTCTGGTATATTTACCATCTAGATGATTTACATGTAAACTTAGTAGTACAAAACCATTAAGTGTCCTAAATTATTACATCTTTGTGTTAAACTGTCAAACCTTTTAACAGAAAACATGCTACCGCTATGCGAAACCTCTTTTAGCCCATAACAAGGCAAGCTTCTCTGTGTAATCAGTATCCTGAAGAAAATAAGTATCTTGAAGTTTTTTTCAGAAATGAAAAAAACAGACCTTTCACAAACTGTTTCATAAAAGGTGGTACACTGATATAGCTAAATCTTCCCAGTATGCTAAAATAGGAATTTCATTTTACCAATGGAATATCCCAAGATGCCACTGTTCTCACTATTCCTGTCATTTCATACAGTATCCCTAAAATTTTTCAGGTGTCAAACTTAAAAAAATGCAACCAGTAGCACTCGCTTTAACTAATGCTTACGTTTTCTTTTAACAACTAATAAAACCGCCAAATACATTTTGTTCTTCAGAGAGGCATATAAACACAAAGATAAGTTTGGAGATGTCTGCAGTTCTGTCCACTAGGACTTAACTGTCCTCAACTGCAAATGGAAACTGGTTTTCCAAAATCCTTTGAAGATGTTTCAGATTTCACATTAGTAAGACTATGGCAGCTAAACAAATTTTTATGGCCTCAGTTGTAACTAGGAAATTAAATTATGTTTGTAAAATAGACAGATCAGAACTGTGTCTACAAGAAGTCAAACACTTTCTAGGTCGAAAAGAAAACAAAAAAATCACCTATATATAATCACACTGTAACAGAAGACTCACAATTTCCTGAATTTATATATGGGAGCCTCAGTTACTTCAATACCTTAGATTTTAACCAGACTTCTAGAAGGAAAAAAGAGACTACTGACTGCATACTTCTCTTTCTGGATTGTCTCTAGGCTTTTTGAAATTATTGCTTCTAGTGGGTGTGTGCATGTGTGAAAATGTTTCATTTCAATGGAAAGAACTGTCATGGAAAGAAAGAGTAATAGAAATGCTTATACAACCGTCTAATTTTCAGGAGATTGCTTTACATACAAATTTTCTGCACTACTTCTTGGGAAGCAGCTTTAAACCTGGTCTTTGTGGGTTTTAGAAGTTTCAAATTATCACCAAATTAAAGATGAGGAGGGAAAGAAAATAAACTCTAACAGCTAAACCTACAAACTTACCTTAGACTGACACAAAAAAGCTGAATTCTCTTCTGACATACTCATGTGCAAGTCAAAATATTTCTGTCCTATCTCATTGTTTGAATGTTATGGTCTTGCTGATCCTTCAGCAGTCCAGCGGTATTCAAGCTATGCCTTCATGTGGGATTTACATGACTCAATTGTTTTGATAGAGCTTGTAGTGACATAACTGATTATCCCTGAATTTGAAGTTTAATAATCTATCTTATTTTTGATACATGTTATTTTATCAGTACTACAAACATGCTTTTGTATACACGCAGGTTGTAAGCATGAGTAATAAAGCAGTATTTCTGCAAAGTAAATTTTCAGAAAAGAAACTGCTTCAAGGCCGTATTACACGTGTAGTATGTGTAATCAATTGTAATCAGTCATAATCAATCATACATAATCAGGAGAATCTGTAGATAATGTATCACTCAAGAAACATCATGTTGAGATTCTTTGCTCTCTCAAGAAATTCACACTATCTCAGGTACTGCTACTTAGTATTTTGCTTGAGACACTTAGAAAAGCATTTGCTAAATTCTCAGACGCATATTTCAACATTATCTAAAGTACTCTATGCTACTATAAATATAAAATAACATACTGCAAACACAGAATTTTCAACAAATGCTTAAACTTAACTCATGTCAGTACTCAACTCTGCAAAACCTTAATTTCTGCCTCATTTTAGCCAATCTACAGTTTCGCTCTGACTATATAGCAATGCTAGCATTCCACACTGGTTCAAAGTCATTGCAACCTGATACGAATGCAGCCTACCACCAGAAAGAGCTCAATACCCTGGATGCCCTTGCTCTGGCACTTTATATTAACTTTTCCACGCGTCAAACTGGATAAGGGAACTGGTCTGACTGAGAACTTCTGTTTTGGCGGCGTAACTTTTTAGCCAGATAAATGCCTGGATCTTCCCCACAAGAACATTTGTTTCAAAACCAAGGCCACGAATATTTGCAGCTTATGCAAAGAAGGCATCACCTGTTCCAGTAGCAAGCTCTACCTACTTCAAGTTAAAGTGATGGGAAAACTGCAAGCTCAAGCATAATTTTATTCCAAGGAATAAAAATACCACTTTATTTTGAACTGTGGTTGTACCTGAAAGAACCAAACCAAGTTGCTTCTGCTACTGCTCCAACATGAATTCAAACAAATGTATGCAGGGCTTAACATGTACATACAGGGCTTAACTGGTCCATACACTACATATCCAAATAAAATCATGGTTTGGCTGCAGAAGACTCCAAGAATGTAATTTAGCAAACTGACAAATAAAACAATCTATGTGAATACTACTATTTTTTGTTTCTTGTTTATAGCTTTCCTTTTTCTATTCGTGTATACCAATTTATGTATCATACAGCAACCTTCTCTTGTATAAAAGCTGCAATTACCAGGAACTAATCAATACGCTAAATTAAAGGCCAAGCCATTCTAAAGTATGGCCTCAATTTGCACCTCTTTAGGCATTTATTTAAGTATGAAATGTCTCCTGTTTTCCATAGCATTAGCAGATCATAATCCAGTGAGACAAGTGTGAGAATATTAGTGACAACAATTGCTCTCAGTTGATCTATTTTATATTTATGCCCAGGTTAGGCAATCTTACTGTAGCAGCATTAGTATCAAATCCAACAGACACATGAACAAGACTCAGAAAGTAGATGTTCAGTACCTCAGGGGAGGTACTGGTTGGTGAAAGAATTAACAAGATTCAGTAAGATTCCAATTTCTATTTGAAGTTTCAAGAGCTTATCCAGACTAAATCTCTCTGTAAATATCAACAATCTTCAAAACACTTTCATGAAAGTACATCTCTTTGACAAACAAAAGAGGGGAGATTTTTTTTATGCTTCTGTTTACTAATCCTCTTGGCAATCCTGCTTACTAATTACTATGATCTTGTACCATGTTATGGTTCTCTGCCTTTTAAAAACTGGACACAGCCATTTCCTTCAAGCAGCATGTCACTAATCTCCCAACAGCAGTATTGTCTTCATTTTAGGTGTTGCAGGTTAGCTTTGCTTTACCTGCATATCTACACCAACCTACTCTATTACGGGAACTTTTAGGGGAAACAAAAGCCCCACAGCTGAAACTAAGAACCTACCCAGTAGACAGAATTTCTGTCCTTCTAACTTCATAACTCATGAAGTAAATAAAAAGAGGCATGACTGAAGCTCATTAGCTCTCAAGAACAATGTATCATCTTTTCCTATTCTCAAAAAACTCTTAATCATTAAGTATTGTAATCAAACAACTCCTGGTTATCATCCTTCTGCCCTTTCTCCTTCAAACTCTGTTACCTTGTTGCTCCATATTTCACTTCCTGTCCTCCTGTGCCATACCCTTGCAGAAGGACTGCAAAGCCGACAGAGCACCTTTTTGGGGTGCCATTATGCTTGGTCTTGGCTTCCATCTGCCTTCTGCAAAACTAAGAACAGAGACTGTGTGACTACTCTAAGCTCAGTTTAAATCAGCTGAAGAGAAAAAATTATCTCTGCCTATTTTCTTGCTATCCCCCTGAAACAGAAATGTATATACACATACCCAGTACTCACAGAGATGAAATTTCAAACCACTTTCTAAAATGGATTAAATTCAGCACTTATATGCAAACCACTGCCAGACAAAGGAAACACAGTGAAACATTTCCAATAGAAAGTCCATTTTAACATCAGCTTATCAAATCAAGGTAAGCAAAAATTAAATTGGAGACTGAACAGTAATTTGGCAGGGTACTTCTCTGAATGGAGGCTATCACTCTTCAATTTTATGTGCTTCAACTGCAAATCTACACTACAAATATATTACAAACAGCCCAAAATATCTGGAAAAGGCCTCAAAAATTCAAAATTTATTATATAAATGAAAATATGATAATGCACTCTCACTAATGTATTTCAATGACTTAATGTAATTCCTAAAAACTATTTTCTAGAAACACTGTATTTAGAAAGGGCCACCTAAAGCCACAATACTACCACCATGTGTCTCACAGAGTAGTCGTCCTTTAAATTAACGTGTTTGTTATGGACACTCAACATTTTTAAGTCAATCAACCTTGAAAGTGTTCCTTGCAGAACCTCTCTTAAAGTGATGCCACTCTGTATTTTCTCTTTCTATTCACAGAAAAAACTCGAAT